TTATAAGTATCTTTATATTATCATATTAAGTATCTTTCCGGAGTTTCCCTCTTTCAAAAACTCCTCTCAGACACTATTTGGCGGTTTAACCCCCAGTCCAACCCCTTAAGCTCCTGAGACCTGAACCTGTATTTGACTTGATTTAAAAGAAAAAATACATCTAACTATTACAGAGTAACCTACACTCATTAACGGAAACAAAATTACAAATATTACAATAATATCAAATTTAAATTAAATAAAAAATGTGTCTAATTTCCTATCAAAAAGAAAGAAAACAAAAAATGTAAAACTTAAAGTCAATATTATGAGTCTATAAATAATAACAATAAGGTCTAAGGTGAATATAATACAATTTTATAATGCAAGAAGCCAATGTCCACATATGTGGACACAGGACCCTAGGAGGATAAAGCTGAGTGTCAAGCAGCGAGCTATTGGGTCCCCTTTTTAATGTCTTTGGTACGATCCGACTGGGATTTTAATCCTGATGTCCCAGTCCCAGAGCAGACACTACCATTAGGCCACTGAGAAGGTAATAGTGTCTCATTATTACATTAGAATGATTTTACAATGTATCACAACCTCGATGTATCCAGTTAATTAAAAAAATAATGAAAAAGACTAAACTCTTCACGTTTTGTCTGTATTTGAGTAATAAGAACCAAGTAGCTTCCTGTGTTTTCTGACCATCTCTTTTGCAGACACCAACAGTAATGCAGAGAAGTAAATAGTTACTTTCTACCGCTGATGGGAACTACTGGGCAGTGAGGGCACACTCACTGGAGCACAAGTGTTCAAACCACATGCAAGTTTGGTTTTACTGCTCTGAAACTAAAAGAGAGAAAGAAATCTCATAGAAATAAATAAAAGCATGAAAAATATTCACTCATCTTCTGCGCTGTCAGTCAAAGACATTATCCTGTGAGCAGCCAGCAGCCTCTTATTATGCAAAACCAAACAAGGTAGGGAAATTGAGTTTGGTGTCCCACAGTAGCATAAGCAAATATAGCCTGACAACTCATATTGAAGAAGACTTAAAAAGAGTACCTTCTGCCTGGATGTTGACGACGAGGCGATCTGGGAAGCCACAGGCATTAGATACCTTGTCTGCAGAGGGAGCTGAGCAAACAACTGACTAAGCCTCAGATCTACCAAATCTGAAGAAACTTGAGGAAGTGGCTTGGCCTGATCCCTGCTGAGATGTCCATCTGTGTGAGTGTGTCTTATGTCGGGAGATCTTCAAATCTTTCAAGCAGCGAGAATCAGGAGAGATGAGCGTGGATGTGATGATGTTAACATATATATATACTAAATTATTATTTGGACATAAGTTATTGTTGGACTAATAAAACTTAATGCCTAGAGCCTGGTTTGAGAACTGTTTGTTATCCTACTGTGGGACACCCCTGCCCCCTTGTGGGCTCTCTGAGCTCTGCATGTCATATGAATGTTTTCCTTTTTTTTCCCACCAGGGGAAAAAAAATAAATAAAAACTAAAAAAAAAAAAGGACAAAACGGAGCGAGTCCTGATAATCTTCATTTAAATCAGCTGTGGTGCATTTCTGGTGCCACTCACACTGTTCACATCATCTTTATAAAATACCAAAACTTCACAAGCATCTAGATGATGAAAATAGAGAATCGATATAGAAGTCATCCTTTTTATTTTAGAGAATTTTTTTTAAATATGGTGAGTTAAAGAAAAACCCAGTAAAAATATATCATGTTGAATTTGTGTAAAATCTGGACAGAGGGGTTTCTGGTCTATAATGTTTATTGTAAACGTGGAAAATATAATGCAAATGCACCCACAACAAATGTAGATATTTTATTTTGTTTTTTGTTTTTATTAGAGTAAATGTTTATATATATATATATATATATATATATATATATATATATATATATATATATATATATATATATATATATATATATATATATATATATATACGCAAGGAAAATCAGATATTCTGCAGGGATAATAAGCTGGCCAAAGGAAGAAATACAGACCACAGATGTTGAGAATGGGAAGCTCCTAACCATGCATGGCGAGTTCCATCCCAAATCCAGCACCCTGATACTGTACAATAGCCATAAGGAAGAAGGCTGATGACTGGTGAGTGTGAGAGCTGCTGTCCAGGATGAAACATCCAAGATCTATAAATACATAAAGGACAAGGCCCCAAAAGATGATGTTCTCAGGGAATGCCTCAGGGAATGGCAGGGGAGGAGACGCTAGAAATACATTGTGGGAGGACAAACCCTACATGGGATGCACCGCCGACAGCTAACTGAAGTGGCTGATATCAGGAAATCCTACCAACGGCTAGAAAGAGCTGTTCTGAAGGACAGCACAGATGCAGTCATCATGGCTGCACGGGAACAGGCTCTGAACACCAGAGCAACAGAGGCCAAGATCTAGCACACCAGACAAGACCCAAGGTGTAGGCAAGTGTTTCCCTTCCCTGGTCTTCAGGGCACACTGTCCTGCATGTTTTTTAATGTTTTTATTTCCCTGCTACCACACACCTGACTTAAATGAATGAATGAATAACAGGAATATGCAGCACTTGATGTCCTCCAGAGGAGCCAAGGTAAATCAGGTGCGCTAAAGCAGAGACATGGAAAACATGGAGGGCAGTGTGCCCTGAGGACCAGGGTTGGGAAACACTGTTGGAGGCTGTGCAAAGAGCCCCCTGAGACAATCCACCACATAACTGCAGGATGTAAGATGCTGGCAGGGAACGCTTACATGGAATGCTACAACCGTGGCTGGCAGAATGTACAGGAACATCTGTGCAGAGTATGGACTGGAAGCTCAAACTGGGAAACACCCCCTAAGTTGGTAGAGAATGAGCGAGCCAAGCACCTGTGGGACTTTCAGATCCAGACCGATGAAAAGGTGATGGAGAACTAACCGGACATTGTGGTGGTGGACAAACAACAGAGGACAGCCATTGTGGTTGATGTGGCGATACCAAGTGATGGTAACATAAGGAAAACAACATGAGAAACTAAAGTACCAGGGCTGCTTGTCATACACACACACACACACACACACACATATATATATATATATATATATATATATATATATATATATATATATAACCCTAACCCTATATATATATATATATATATATATACACAAACCAGATTCCAAAAAAGTTGGGACACTATACAAATTGTGAATAAAAACTGAATGCAATGATGTGGAAGTGCCAACTTCTAATATTTTATTCAGAATAGAACATAAATCACGGAGCAAAAGTTTAAACTGAGAAAATTTATCATGTTAAGGGGAAAATATGTTTATTCAAAATTTCATGGTTCAACAAATCCCAATAAAGTTGGGAAAGGCCATTTTCACCACTGTGTGGCATCTCCCCTTCTTACAACACTCAACAGACGTCTGGGGACCGAGGAGACCAGTTTCTCAAGTTTAGAAATAGGAATGCTCTCCCATTCTTGTCCAATACAGGCTTCTAACTGTTCAATCATCCTGGGCCTTCTTTGTTGCACCTTCCTCTTTATGTTCTCTATAGGTGAAAGATCTGGACTGCAGACTGGCCGGATCCTTCTCCTACACAGCCATGATGTTGTCATTGATGCAGAATGTAGTCTGGCATTGTCTTGTTGAAAAATGCAGGGTCTTCCCTGAAAGAGATGACGTCTGGATGGGAGCATATGTTGTTCTAGAACCTGAATATATTTTTCTGCATTGATGGTGCCTTTCCAGACATGCAAGCTGCCCATGCCACACGCACTCAAGCAACCCAATACCATCAGAGATGCAGGCTTCTGAGTTGAGCGTTGATAACAACTTGGGTTGTCCTCGTCCTCTTTGGTACGGATGACATGGCGTCCTGCATTTCCATAAATAACTTCGAATCATGACTCGTCTGACCACAGAACAATCTTTCATTTTGCCACACTCCGTTTTAAATGGTCCCTGGCCCAGTGAAAACACCTGAGCTTGTGGATCTTGCTTAGAAATGGCTTCTTCTTTGCACTGTAGAGTTTCAGCTGGCAACGGCGGATGGCACAGTGGATTGTGTTCACTGACAATGGTTTCTGGAAGTATTCCTGAGCCCATTCTGAGATTTCCTTTACATTAGAATTCCTGTTCATGGTGCAGTGTCATTTAAAAGCCCAGAGATCACGGGCATCCAGTATTGTTTTACGCCCTTGACCCTTATGCGCAGAGATTGTTCCAGATTCTCTGAATCTTCGGATGATGTTATGCACAGTTGATGATAACTGCAAAGTCTTTGCTATATTTCACTGGGTAACACCTTTCTGATATTGCTCCACTATCTTTCTGTGCAACATTGTGGGAATTGGTGATCCTCTACCCATCTTGGCTTCTGAGAGACACTGCCACTCTGAGAAGCTCTTTTTACACCCAATCATGTTGCCAATTGACCCAATTAGTGTTAAGTGGTCTTCCAGCTCCTGTTATGCTCAAATTTACTTTTTTTAGCCTCTTATTGCTACTTGTCCCAACTTTGAGATTTGTTGACACCATGAAATTTTGAATCAACATATTTTTCCCTTAACATGATACATTTTCTCAGTTTAAACTTTGTTCCGTGATTTATGTTCCATTCTAAATAAAATATTAGAAGTTGGCACCTCCACATAATTGTATTCAGTTTTTATTCACAATTTGTATAGTTTCCCAACTTTTTTGGCATCATGTTTGTGTATATATGTATAACCTCACTCTGTAAACTAGAGTTGGGCTTCCTGTCAGAACAGCATAGGCTACTTGTATCAGTAATTTTTCACACTCCCTCAGAGCACAGGAGTTCCTCATAGATGTGTGTTCAGTCCCATGGTCTTCACATAGCTAAGCAACGACTGTTCTGCAGTGGATTTGCTTCATGACTGACAGTGTTCTACAGGTCTCGACCAGTTTTAAAGGGGGTCTGACCTGGGTCCTCGACCCCACAGGAGTTCTGAGGCTCAGGCAGGAACTTAATATTTTATAAATTTAATGAAACGTTTATACTGAATGTTTGTTAGCAGACCTACTGCAGGACATCTGCTGGAATAAAGACTACTAAACATAATGTTCTTAGTTGTGTTTGTTTATTAGAGATGTCTCTCAATCATTTATAAAATAATCAGTAAAATTTTAATTCAATCCAGATATTTACATATAAACAAACAGTTGTGCAAAATTTACATGATAGAAGAGAAACCATCATAACCTGTTTAATTTATTTTACAAGTAAAATACATTTATTTAATCTGAAGTCAGTAACCTTTGCTAAAATCATTAATTCAATAATATTTAAAGAAAAACAAAGATACAAAGGCAAAAGTTATTTGTGCACTAAAAATGTAAAATCTCGTAAAGTGGTATGTACATCTGAATGACTTGTATAAGAAAAATGATTGGTAAAGAACGGTCCTACAGCCAAACACTCTTCTTATTTAGAAATATAAAACACACAAATATAAATGACTGCAATGAGTCACATTAAGGAGTTAATTCATAAAAACTCAAGAGCAATGTTGCAACAAATTGATCACAGCTTGGGCGCACCACATTGCAAAGTTCACACCTGACAGTCCTTTTTCACTTTGTTTAGGTATGTTTACAGATGGTGTGATTTCTGTATGAGAAGGAGCTTGATCTTTGCCCTTCCCAAAGGTATTCTTGACAAAAATTACTTCGATACAAATCTCAATATTAAAAAAATACTACTTTACCTACTATAATATGCCTAAGAAAAGGATATTAATGGAAAATATTTAAATTTTAGTAAAAGAGTCTGAATAAAAATCAACCACTGTAAACTTCCAATATTAAGCGCTATGATGGTGAGCGTGAAGCCCATTTCACACTGAATATGATACGGAGGCGGTCCAGTTTCTGTACAGCCATTCACACCGACTACAGTCCGGCTGGATATCTGCTCATACAACATAATTTGATAATTGACACATTTGAAATATACATTTTACATGCAGCATCTGGAAAAATAGCCTCCATGCAGAAAATTTCTGGAGCTTCGTTTCAAGATCCGCGCCGCCACCAGTCAGAATGCTCTGATTGGAGTCAATGATTTCTGATCAATGCAGAAGCCGTACAGAAACCAGACCGCATCCCTTCTGCACTCGATGTGACAAGAGGCTTGAGAGCTAAATATTAAATAAACAAAGTAATTAAAACAAGCAATCATTCATCCATCGTAGAACTGTGGAAAATACTGCTGGGTTGATAATTCATCAAATTAATATGGCTTGTATTGAGAAGGCCATTCAACGGTTGAGTGTGGATGGGTGTTGCAGGTGCCCGACGATAAAACTCAGGGGAGAGGTGCGCTTAAATAAAGACCAAAAATGCTTGAATACGATTTAAACCGCCAAGGTCCCCTTAGTTTAGAATTCAGGAAGTCCCATCAGGAAGTCTGTGTCCACCCAGCTTCCTTAAAGTGTTGCTTCACTGAAAGTCTCTTTAATCATTATTTCTGATTATAATGAGTCTCTGAGTTTTCATACAGGCTGAACATGAAAATAGTCTCCTACACCTATCTGCTGCATTAGCTTCTGACAGAAAATAGACTGTGAAACTCTAGGATTAGAAAAGCCTGACAGATCTACATCACACTGTCAATTAACAGTTAGCCAATCAGGGGTGAGACATCCAAATATCAGGAAGTAAGAGTCCAGCCATGTTCAGCTCAAATCTGATCTGGCTCACTTTTAATTCCTGAAACAAATTAATATTTTTTGTAATAAAAATATGAGTAAAGTACCACGTTAAAGCCACTGTGTGGGACCAGTTACTCTAATTCAGGTGCTATTTGAGGAAGCCTTTATACAGCAGCTGTGAGTGACTGGTCTCTTTTTCATTCTCCAGACAGAAGAGAAGGTCCCGGAGGTTTACTCTGGTGATGCGATGTCGCATAAACTGCCTGGAGCCCGGTCCAGCTGAGGCTCCGGGTTGGGAGGGGCCTGACCCTGGGCCCTGGAAGGTTTAGAGCAAAGCAAATACCAGAAAACCATTTAGCTTCCTGCAGACACCTTTCATCACTCAAAGTCTAAACAAACTCAGTAATCCTCACCTCAGCAGTTGCACCCCTGACAGGCGAGTCTGCCTTCCGTTTCTTTCTTGGGCCGATAGCTGCCAGAGCAGTCAGGTTGGCTTCTCTCTGTCTGATCTGAGCCAGCTCCAGCTGCTGCATCTGGAAAACACACAACAACAAAAGGATTAGCAACAGCTCAAAGGGAAAACAGCTGTTTTTTAGAAGGAGTGTACCTCTTTGGCCTTCTGCTTGAGTCTGAGCTGCTCTGGGTCTTCTTGTCGTGACCTGGACTGCAGCAACACAGAGGACATTTTAATATTTAGAAATGGATATATCCGATTTATGAAACCGCCTTTGTTATTCATTCACACACTCAGAGTAAGCATATGTAAATCAGTGTTGCTGACCCCAGCTCACACAGTCAACCATGTTATTATGACAGACTCTTCCTGTATCCTTGTTGAAATGTCTCTGGGTTACTCCAGGTCAACTCAGCCAAGAGTCCTCACCTCAGACTCATGATCTTCCAGTTTTTCCTCTAATATAAACATTAATCGGTATGACGGACAGATCCCAACGAGCCACAGAAGAGGTAATTATGAAATTACAGCGTCTAACATGATGGTTAAATGGGTTTAAAATTAAAATAATAAATTCAAAGTAATAACCCACGTCTTATTAATAAGGAAATGTTTTGAACAAAATACTCATTGACTCAACTTATCAGGAAGTATTTGAAATAATTATTTTGATTACCACTAATACACACCAATAGCTATATCACTGAGTCAGAACGTGTGATGTATTGATGTTCGCTGATACTTCACTAAACGTTCATCTGTTGTATTTAAAATGGTTTTTACATTTGTTGTATTTTCAGTTCGATTTAATTTAGTTTAATAACTGTACTGGAAAAATAATGTTTTTAAATTTTGATTTAATGACTTTATTTACCATGTAAATGAAGAAGTAGAAGAAAATATCATTTCTATAGCGCCTCTCAAGATAGAAATCACGAGGTGCTTCACAAGAACAAAAAATGTAAAAATATTAAAAAAGCATTTAGAAAATGTTTAAAAATGTATTAAAATGAGCAAAAATAGACAATTGTGATTAAAAAAATGTTGAGAGGGAGTGAATAGGAAAGAGGGAAATCGGTGGATCCTGAGGAAGGTGGAATAGGTGGGGAGAGCAGAATAAAGAGAGAGTGGTGAAGAAGGTCATACAAAAGCCAGCTTGAACAAGTGAGTCTTCAGCTGCTTTTTGAAGGAGACCACTGAGTCCACTGATCTCAGGCTCAGGGGGAGAGAGGTCCAGAGTCTGGGGGCCACAGGAGCAAATTATCTGTCACCTTTGGTCTTTAGCCTGGTGCGTTGCACAACCAGTAGGCTTTGATCACTGAACTTCAGGGACCTGCTGGGGGTGTAGGGACTAAGAAGATCACCAATGTAAGATGGTGCTTGTCCATGTAAGGCCCTATAGACCAGAACCAGGATCTTGAAATGAACCCTGAAGTTGACTGGCAGCCAGTGAAGCTGGAGGAGAAGCGGGGTGATGTGGGTGTGTGTGGAGGACTTGGTCAGAAGCCGAGCACAGGCATTCTGAACCACCTGTAGACGGTTCAGGGAGGTTCTGCTCAGACACGTGAAAAGAGAGTTACAGTAGTCTAAGCGTGAGGAGATGAAGGTGTGGATAACTGTCTCAAGTTCAGAGCGGGACAGAATGGGACTCAGCTTAGCAATGTTCCTGAGATGGAAGAAGGAAGAGCGAACAAGAGAACTGACATGAGAATCCAGGGTGAGAGCTGGGTCAAAGGTCACACCAAGATTCCTGACGGAAGGTTTGGTGTGAGAATCAAGCTGACCAAGAGAGTCAAAATGGCTATTCTAATAGGTTTTAAAATGACATTTTGCAACGTTTTCCTATTTTAAATGATTTTCTTGAGCCAGTGTGTGCTAAAATGACCCTTTACATGGTTAATGAAGGTCACCCAGCTCCTATCGCCCTCTGTGGACTGAATATTCCACCTGCAACTCCAGAGTGGCGGGCCGCTCTGTTGGGACTTAGAAAAACATTGAGCTGACATACCTGGCGCTGCAGTCTGCTTCCAGCATGTTGTCTGCATGATTTAGATCCTGAACACAACTGATTTGTTTAATTTAGTGCTGAATCACACCTGTAGACACTAATGAAGGCTGGGGAGACATTTCAGCGGTTAAAAGACGAGCGCACAACGAGGAGATAGTTTTGCTTTCAGTTCAGTCAAAACTTCTTAGTCGTTCTTTTTTCTGGTTTAGAAATAATTTCTCAGGCAGATTAAAGTATGTGTAGTTCATAATGAACAAGTTAGAATATAACCTTTATTAAATGCATATTTAATTAAACAGCCAAAGGTAACTTTTTATTACTTTTATAGAGATTAGTAAATGTGTGTAATCCTATTTTCTATATTTGTCCAAACTGATTTGTTTTTCAGGCATGGACGTTTGTATCAGATAAATCTAATGTTTAAACCAATCAGAGAGCTCCTGCTAAGTGCTGCTGTGGATCTCTAACTGCTAAACTTTAGGTTGTTTTGTCCCTCACTCGTAGATTAGTAAAGAATTACACAAGAGGTCGAACCTTCAGGGTCTATCCAACTTATAATCATCACTATTGACCAGAAAAGTCAAATGAAACATTTAATCTTTTACTTAAATGAACACATGAAGCATATCGCTCTACCTTAGCTGCCTTTAGAAGAATCTCTCTTTCCTGCTCCTCCTTCCTTTGTTTCTCCATCTGATCCAACTGCTCAAAGAACTTGAGTTGAGCTCGCACGTCGCCGACCTGCTCATACTGCCCGTCCTCCTAAAATTTGCGTTGAATAAAATGACGCAAAAAAGGGACAAAGTTTTAGCTCATAAGCAGCATGAACAACCACCAGTCAAGCTTTGTTCTGTAATAAACCACCTTAAAACTTCTGTTCTTCTGCTGAGCCACATGTGACGCCTTTTCCAGCAGGTTCTGCAGTCGTTGCTTTGTAGCGTGGGAGATGTAGCTGATCACATCTGTGCCCAACTCGCTAACGCCGAACCTCTTACCTAAAACAGAGGGGAGGGAGACTAAATGAACGAGTGAACCTGAAGAAAGAAGGTTGTGCATGTTGTCACCTCTGTGTCTCACCAATCTGCAGAGCTACTCGGGAGAGTGAAGGGGGGAAGAGAAAGGTCTCGTCCTTACAGGACCGAGTCACTATGCCGACAAGCTCAGAGTTGGTTGCTAAGATATTGGCGCTCTCCTCTGATAAGTTGACTCCTGCCATGGAAGCCACATCGTTGATGTCATCATCATCCCTGATTACATAAGAACATTGAGTCACACCCTGTTTATTTACTATTTTGTTTAACTTCTCCCATTTTTCCTGTGCAAAAAGAATGCTTTTTCATTTACTTCAACTCTAATTAAAAAAAATTCTTTACAACAGACCTAAAAGTAACTGCTCTACACCAAAAACAGCACGCTCCGAGCTCACCGCTGAACCCTGAGGTGAGCGCTCTACTCCACAGCAGATTACCGGAGACTTCAGCACACAGTAAGCTGAGTTTTCAGCATTTGGTCAACCGTCAGAACTCCTGGTTTGTGAGCTTTGAGTAGTTCTAAGTTTTAACATCACAAATGTCTGCAATAAAAAACTTCTCCGTTCCAACTTGTGAGGAAAATCAGTGTAGCAATGCCACAGAGCGTATAAATGGTTTATAGTGAGTCCTCATCAGATCATCATATGATCCAGAGCAGCATCTGGAGGATTCATACTGGTGTTCATGTGCAGAGCTCCACAGCAGGCTAGCGTTTGGCACGAAGCAGCCAATCCAAATGAACAAGTTTTAGAGCGGACAGCTTTGCTGCTTTTGCTGTGCAGGCCTGAGAATTCACATTTCCTTGGTAAACTTTGTCTGCCGACAAAGCTGCAGCAAGCCTGAAAGCTGATCATGTGCAGATGTTTATATTTTACTTGTAACTGTACCAGTGGAAGGTTAAAGTAACAGCCAAAGGTTTGGACACAACTCATTTTGAATGAGTAGATGTTTTATGTGCCGTCAGAACTTTATAGATGCACAAAAAAGAAAAGGGCCATTGACTTTCTTTAGTTTTTAAGTTTCTATCTAAAATGTGGACTGCATGAAGACCATTTTTTAACAGATATTGATAAAAAGACAAGAAGAAGCCACAAACTTGAAAGTTCCTCCTCCTGCTGCTTCTTTCAGACTGTTCCTCTGAGCTTCAGAAAGTGAAGCGTGACCAAGAACTTGAACTCCTCTGATCCCTGGAGCCACCGTCTGCTTTGCTGTAAAAATAAAGGTTACAAGTGGGAACCGAAGGGTTTCTATTATAGTAGCCATTAAAATGTTCTATGATTGTGCACTATTAGGTTTACCCAAATGAAATGCATTATAGACAAATCAACCTACTGCTGTATGTGTTAGCCACAAGGGGGCAGCACCCACATACATAAGGTATTGATAAGATAAGAATGGTTTAAACTAACTTTACATTACGACACAAGTTAATGAAATAAAAAAACAGACGACTCAGTGCAGGTTTAACTATGACCTCGAGCATTAATGTCACCCTGTTGATTGAACACACACCTGCTGGTAGCTGTTTGACCACCTGACCCACAATGATATGATTGGGAGTTTGTCCTCTGAATGTTACCATGGGAGACGGAGCGAGTGTCACCTGAGGTCTCACCATGGTCCCCTGCTGCTGGGACACAATCTGCACACATTCCGAAAGAACAAAAGCCAAATTCAGAAAAATTCATGTCATTTCGTTGATCACATCATCCAACATTCCCAGAAGCAGCAAGCTTACCAGGCCAGGTTTACTGTTGGGTGTCTGAGGCAGGCTGATGACGGTGGTTTTGGTAGCAGCAGTAGTGGCGCTAACGGAGGAGAGGGGGGGTCGCAGGACTACGGCGCTGAGGGCAGAGGAGGTTGTTGCGGTAGACTGGGCGCTGGGCAGGGGCGGAAGGCTTTGATGGAGAAAGGCCTCCGAGTCTGGAGTCATCTGACGTAGAGCTGGGAGGCTCCGCTGCAGGAGCAATCAGAAAGATGAAGTCATTAATGGGTTATTACAAGAAGAACTTCTCCAAAGCTCTTAAATATGGTGGGAGAGTTTCTATTGTTATGGTTGAAGAGATTTCCTGAAACAGTAAAAAACAGCGAATTTCTTTGACTTAGGGTGACTCCTCACACACTGTTAGGAGACATTTAAAATATTTCTATGACTACACCCAAACCTCTCTAGTACTCTGCTTCTCACTAAATATCTCATGGCCTCTTCTCAAAAAAGCTGTGAGGCAACTGCAGCTTGTTCAGAATGCTGCTGCTAGTCTTAACAAGAACCAAGAGAATGGAGCACATCCCTCCTGTTCTTAAATCTCTACACTTGTTACCAGTAAACTACACAATCCATTTCATAGTGCTTCTACTAGTTTATGCATCACTCAATGGCTCGAAGCCAGAATACATGTTGGATCTCCTAACTGTATATACGCCCAGGAGGGCTCTGAGATCCTTAGTAAAACAGTCAGCTGGTAGAACCCCGGTCAGAACCAAACAGGGTGAAGCTGCTTTTAGCTACCATGCTGCACACAGAAGGAATCAGCTACATCATGACCTCAAATGTGCCCCAACTCTAGTAACTTTTGAATCAAAGTTGAAAACTTTTTCGTATTCATCAGCGTCTGAATGAATGCTCCTTTGCTGCACCTTCTGCACTGTAACTTCTCACCCTTTAACTTTGTCTTTTATCGGATTCTTAAATCTGAATTTAATTTCTGTATTTTAATTGCGCTGTTACCCTGATTCTGCTTTTCTTGCTCCTGGAAAGCGCATTAAACTGTTTAAATGTGCTACACAAATGCCTCTTGTTGCACTGGTAGAAGCAGGCAAACCCAGTAATGAGTCTGCCACGCTGTGGTTCTACAGCAGGGTCAACAGCTTTTATAAAATCTGACTCCTAATACAGATGCACTGGTGTGCCTCAGTTATTTTATTTCACCCTTTCATCATACTTTAATCAGCTAAACTGAACTAAACTACTGTGATACTCAGTAAAACCGGCTGTTGACGGCCACAACACGACCTCCAGAGTGAGTTTATGTGTGCGACACTCACAGCTTCATGAGAACATTGTCTCTACATATTAATAATTTAGTCTGTATGCTGCTTTTTCCTCTCGGTAAGCTGACCCGCTTGTTACTGGTTGACCCGTGCTGCACCACAACACGCTTCAAACAAATAAAACAGGAACATTGAAGATTAAATGTGTGTTCTTACTTTAATTTGTGATGATAAACAAAAACTTGCCTTCTGTTCGTTGAGTTTTTGATGCTTTTGTTTAAAACTGTGCTACATTTTGTTATATAAAGCAAAAGAAAAAGGAAAATGGTAAATGCTCTGTATTTATATATCGCCTTCTTGGGTTCTACATCCCCCCAAGGAACTTTACAACTCAAACACACACACACACACCTTTTCTTTTTTTTTTTTCATAAAACAAAAAAGTGAAAGATGGAAATATTTTATTTTGTTGAATGGGATTTGTTTTACCCGTTCTTGTGAAGTGTGTTTATGGTTTGGGTCTATCTAATTCATCTCTCACACGTCTCTAGCTTCTGGTGTGACTTTACCTTGAGAAACGGTACAAGAAAAGGCTGAGGCGAAGAGTTGAGCTCCCGGTACAGCCTACTGGTGAAATCCTCAGCCTCTATTTTTGCGTCCTGTTGCAATAAAAAAGTAGAACCTGATTTTATTAAAAAATAACAGAGATGGTCTAGAAACAAATCCAGCAGATCAGGGAATAGAAGAAAAACAGTACCAGCAGGTTTTTGATCAGCTCCTTGACATTTGCTGTAGTCTCTGTTGATTGCTTCCCACTGGCTAGCTTAATAAGTGTAGATAAAAAGTTTTTACACTTTTTCACGTTCTCCAGAGTTTCCTAAACACAGAACAGCATCAAAAACAACTTTAGTCGATTGTTGTTTTACAGACTAAAGTATTTAAGGTTGGTGCTTCGGTCTTACAGCTGTCACTGCGGTTGGAGTAGCTCCCACCCGCTGGGTTCCTGCAGACTGGACGTTGGTGGAGGCTCCTGCGGAGGTGGCACCTCCTCCCAGCATGATGGTGTTCTGCATAAGTCAGGGAATACAACCATGATATATATGATGCAGGGCAATGACTGATTTCTATTTAACATTTTTGGTTATGTTTAGTTACGTTGGCAAGAATCAAACAAACACTTGCTTTTCTCTCACTAAAAAATAAATAACACTCTTAATGTTTGCTGTCCTGACGCCCTGCCGTTCCTTAACAGCGTCTTACGTGTTCAGAATTCCAACTATGGAGATTATAATTAATTAAGTCCAGTTATAATGCAAAATAAATAAAAATATTGAGGCTTATTAAAGGGATTTCAATAACAACCAGAGTATCTGTGCTTTAAATGAAGCATCGGAAGGTTATTAATAATAATTAAATTCTAAAAACATTTTTGTTAAAAAATAAAAATGAAAAAAGGTCAAAGTATACAAAATGATGTACTGTTGAGGTATCTCAAAAAGCCAAGTATCTACAAAAACCTAAACATCTGTTTCAAGAAATACTTTTTTTCCTGCTTGTCAGAATCAAATCAGCACACACTAGTCCCGTTTTCAGCTCTGTCTTAATAGGAACAATGTGGTCTTCATAATCATTTTCTCCATCTTGGAAAATAACAGCAGAGCTATTTCCAGCAAATGAACAATAAACGGATGAACTCGTGCCCATTCCACAGGGACAAGTGAGTCATTCCTTTAAAAGATAAACAAACATCTTAAAAACACACGGAGACAGAAATAACATCACGGGTGACTGATTTCATCAGTGTCTGAGATAATCCAATATATTTAGTCAATCCTGATTGAATTCAGTCTTAAATTAAGTTAAACGTCTTTGAGGAAATTGGGAGCTGATTGTGTGACTAAGGGAGCATTAACCTCCGACTGTAAAAACAAACAAATGTCTGCAGGCCTAAATGGCATTGGTTTCCATGGTTTTGTTCGGGTGATAGGTCTACAGCACCAAGTGGATGCAGGCATAGTGAGTACCAGAGGCTTACTGGAAACATGGCCGCTGAAGGCAAGACAGAGCTGGGTAGCTCCCAACAGGACCAGCAAAAACAAGCCAGGGAAGTATTTCCTAAATGAGGGGCAAACCTGCAGTCCTCCGACTAACTTCTACTTCCAGAAGCAGGAACGCCAGAGCTTTTTGTCCACAGAGAACGAATCACAAGGCATTCATTCAAACTAGAGACCACAGCAGATTTAATGAAACAAATGAGTGTATGAGAGCTTTAATAAAAAGGACTAAATCATATGTAAATGAGTGTGCTTCTTTATTTAATGACCTGATTATAGCTTTAAAAGAAATATCCAAATAAACTGTCACTGAGTGTACATAGAATGGATCATGTTGTGATGTATTAACTCATTTTATCAGCCATGAGAATGTTTTCATCGTCGTCGTCTTCCTCCGCTTATCCGGGTCACAGGGGCAGCATCCCAACTAGGGAGCTCCAGACTGTCCTCTCCCTGGCTACCTCCACCAGCTCCTCCGGCAGGACCCCAAGGCGTTCCCGGACCAGATTGGAGATGTAACCTCTCCAACGTGTCCTGGCTCGCCCTGGGGGCCTCCTGCCAGCAGGACATGCCCAAAACACCTCCCCAGGGAAGCGTCCAGGAGGCATCCTGACCAGATGTCCAAACCACCTCAGCTGACTCCTTTCGATCCGGAGGAGCAGCGGTTCTACTCCGAGTCCCTCCCGAATGTCCGAGCTCCTCACCCTATCTCTAAGGCTGAGCCCGGCCACCCTACGGAGGAAACTCATTTCGGCCGCTTGTATCCGCGATCTCGTTCTTTCGGTCATTACCCAAAGCTCATGACCATAGGTGAGGATTGGGACGTAGATCGACCGGTAAATCGAGAGCCTGGCTTTCTGGCTCAGCTCCCTCTTCGCCACGACAGATCGGCTCAGCGTCCGCATCACTGCAGACGCCGAACCAATCCGCCTGTCGATCTCCCGATCCCTCCTACCCTCACTCGTGAACAAGACCCTGAGATACTTAAACTCCTCCACTTGAGGTAGGACCTCTACCCCGACCCGGAGTTGGCAAGCCACCCTTTTCCGGTCGAGAACCATGGTCTCAGAATTGGAGGTGCTGATCCTCATCCCAGCCGCTTCACACTCGGCCGCGAACCTACCCAGCAAGAGCTGAAGGTCAGAGCTGGATGAAGCTAGGAGGACCACATCATCCGCAAAAAGCAGAGACGAGATTCTCCTGCCACCAAACTCGACACACTCCACACCACGGCTGCACCTAGAAATTCTGTCCATAAAGGTAATGAACAGAGCCGGTGACTAAGAGCAGCCCTGGCGGTGTCCAACCCTCACCGGGAACAGGTCCGACTTACTACCGGCTATGCGGACCAAACTCACGCTCCTCTGGTAAAGGGACTGAATGGCCCTTAACAGAAAGCCACCCACGCCATACTCCTGGAGCGTCCCCAGCCAACACCACCCGCTTTCTGACAGCCTAACTACTAATGAATGTTGTCATGTCTCACTAATCCCAGAGCGCTTCATTACCTGCAGTACAGGAGGCCTCTGCAGTGTGGTGGTGGCAGTGAGTGTGGTCTGGACCGGCGGACTTTGTTTGATTATGGTGGTGGGAGTGACTGAACGGCCCATCAGTGGTGTGCCTGGAGTCTGCAGAGAAGAGAGGTTACTAAATGCAGTTAGAATAATAAAACTTGAACAATAATGTGACTTTAATTTGGTGAAATCATAAGAAAAATTATCATGTAAAAATAATGTCACTAGTAGTGATGCACGGGTGAGTTTTTTTCATCCCGCGGGTACCGCAGATTCGATAACGTCTGGCCCGCACCAAACCGCCCCGCATCACTAGGTCTATTTTTACAACCCGCGCCGCCCCGACCCGCCTCATTAAAAACACGTTATTGGTTGAATGCGTTTATGCAGACAAAGGTGCGTTAAACAGCCCCCCAATTGGCACTGGAAAATGGTAGTAACATTACATTTTTGAAGGCTAAAATAAAAAAATAATAATAGGCAGATAAAGAAAGTTTAAAATTTTATTAAATAAGGGTTATTTTTGTTTGTTGCCCTACTAATAGTGCAATTAACCAATACAGAAACAGCACCTAGAGCCCCTGCTTGGGCAAACAAAATAGTAAAACATTTTACAACTTTTATCAAACATTTTGAAAGCCAACAAACACATTACCTGTTATGTCCTTGTTTTTGTCCAACAAATGCTGCTGCTGTTGTCTGCGCCGATTACCTCGCTGAATCTTTCCCAAACATGCTATTTAGCAGTTTGTCCCTCCTTTCTTTTAAGAATGTAAACTACCGAATGAATTTTATCCAAAATATTGTCCTCCATCGTTTTGTTGACGTGGCTGCCTGCCACCTGCTTGGAGCTTAGGCACACTTCACTGGCGCTTTCTGTGTGTGCCTACATATATATATAATATATATATATATATATATATATATATATATATATATATATATATATATATATATATATATATATATATATATATATAATGTATATATTTCATGAACCCGCCACAAACCGCACCGCACTGAAGTAAAAATTTATTGACCCGACCCAACCCGACCCACAAGTAACCCGCGGGTACTGCAGGTTAGAAGTCAATCCGCGCATCGATAGTCACTAGTACAGGAAGTAACCTGCAGTGTATGCAGTTTTAAGTCAATTTTTAAACCTGCAAATTTCATCTAAAAAACTTTGACGTTACCCTTCATGCAATGTCTGTAAAAGGTTTTTAGAAAAAATGAAATAAAAAAACACAAACTGACACATGATTAAATTGTTGTGTATATCCACTGCTAAAAATCTATTGTGTACAACTCCCATCACATGAACGAGACACTCTTTCTGTGTGTGTCTGAGACAAAAGAGCCCAGCAGGGACGTACCTGTAGAGACGTGACCTGGACAGGTGGAGTGCTGGTGGGGGCTGTAGGTCGAGGTGTCATGGCGCTTTGTGACTGCGCCTGAGCTTGTATCTGAGCCAACGGCTGCTGGTGAATCATCATCACCCGCCCTGTCTCCCTGCAGACCAAGACCATCCCTGCATGTGGTGAATGATCAGTCACAACCGTTATGCCCGGATTAGATGCTGCATACTCATGCCTCTAACTCACACACCTGCACTCCTAGGGAGGCTGAGAGATTCAGCTCCCGTTAGTCAGACTAAATTAATCCAGCCATGGTCAAATTCATGAAAATGTTTCAAGCTTTAACACGTGGTGTACAAACACATTAGGGTTACTCAAAGTTGTATTTTACCACTGGCACTTTATCATGGGCCAGAACACACCAGTTGCTACTGTCAGCAATCAAACAGGTAAATAGGTAAAATACAATAAAGATGGTTTAAGTATAGAGAGAATGAAAAATAATATTAATACTTGATTGTTTATTTCAGTCTGTACATTTAGATGCTGAAGAGAAAAGCTTTAAACACTAACAAGATGATCCCTTTTGATCAACATAGCTATGACACGTTCTTTAAAACCAAAAAACGTGGAGTTTTTAACTATTTGATAATTACATCAATTAAAAAACAAACTTTCAGACCAACAATTGAACCCAGAGAGTAAAAAGGTTGATAAGAAGACAGAATGCAAGATAAGATAAAGAAATAAAGATCAATAGTTTGAAGCTAAAAGATACAGCACCCTCTGAATTTGTCTATTCTGCAGCCTGATCGGCTGTTTGAGGCCTCAGGAGAACATCAATAACATGTATGCTCTCTACAAAGTGTCTTAAACTACACTGTTCCTACATTTGGAGAAACTCGCATCGGATACCATCCACTTTCTGACAGCCTAACTACTAATGAATGATGTCAGATTGCAAAGCTTACCTGGAGGAAATGTAATGTTTTGGACGTTGGTGGCATTTTGTTGCGGCTGCGTGGGCCGTGGGGCAAACACCTGAGGAACTATGGCTCGTACTCCACCAGGAGGAGCGGCAGTGGATGGAACTGAGATCCTCAGGTTCTGCAGAACAGTGGGACTCCGGATGGTGGCGCCAGTAGAAGCCAGCACCTGACTGTTAGTTTGCGGTAGAGTTTTAGAGGAATCCGTCTTGTTGACAGTAGCGTTTGGTGTAGTCGTGTTGTCCGCGCTGGGAGAGTCATTAGCAGTTTGCAGATGCGGTCTCACGAGCGTGACTGTGGGGACAGTTTTCACAGGGGGCTGACATGAGGTCACTGCGTTTTGTGCGCTTATAACAGTTCGGATAATAGGACTGGGCGACGCAGATACAACTGCTGCACCCTCTTTGCCCCCGGAAGCAGGTCCATTGACAAGCGTGACAGAAGCAGGCGCAGGGCTGTCGGGTTGTCCGCCTCCGGGAACGTGACAGTTCATCACCACGTTGCCTCCATTTAAAGTTTCAGCACCAGTCGGGTGAGGCTTCACAGTTCCTTGTGTTGCATCTGATACAACCGTAACAACTCCGCTAGCAGTCGTCAGCTTGGACTGACTCTGGGCGGCTGTCACACTCGATTCAGCTGAAGTGATTCCAACTGTCTCATCCATGCTTGAACCGAAGGACCCCGCACTGTTGCTGACACCTCCTGTAACACCCCTACAGCAGCCGAAACATGGCTACTGCGAGTCTCCAAACACTTTTCTGCTTAGTTTTGTGACGAGTGAATTCAAGTTGGCCGTAATTTAGCTTGACCGTAACAAAACGAGCTTCTGTTAGCTAACCGGAATGCGCAACTATCTTACCCGCTTTAGTAAGCGCTTGTTGTGAAAGTCCCATGTTTTCCTGCCCTGAACATTGAAATAACTAACTATAGTCTAGTCACTGACGTGGTTTTCTGTAGAATAAATGCCAGACATTTAGCTAAAGTCAACTGTTACAGTTAGTTCCGAGTCCAGAGATCTCACTAGCTCGCTTACTACTTTTTGTCTTGCTTTCTGTTGAAGAAAACATCCTCCAGCAAGTCGAAGCCCGCCGCCATCTTTGCCTGGCTGCGCTTGATCCTTTGACGCATGCGCTGATTGGATACATCTTCCATGACGCAGATTCACCGGGCGTTGTGATTGGATAACGCTAGAGTTTACAGCAGAGCTGTCTGCTTCACTGGGGGAGACGAGGGCGGCACCGCCCATGAAGCTGTCAGATGGGACATTACGAAAAATAAGTTACACTGACAGCATGTGATGTGAGCTTTGTAACAAATATCCATTCATTGTGTCTCTATTGCTGGCTGTGAGTGTCTAAAGTCGCTTGATGTCAGTGTTCTGACGGAGTTTGTCCTTCACAAAACCACGTAGAAAATAGTTATATTGTCAGTTTAGCTGGTATTTTTCAGTTGTTCTGAACCCTGCGAATTGTTAATTTTGTGGCAGTGTCGTACACTGGCAGATATTATATTATTGCATTCATATAGTATTCAAATAAATGTTTAAAATAATCCGGAATTATACAAAACAACCATCTGTGTCCGCTCCTTTTTGTTGCGCCAGCGCATGACCAGCGGTGAGTGAGAAGTTTATTAGTGCACAGTCATATTCAGCACATTTACTAACGTTATTTAGTTGTTAAACACTTAGGAAAAGACCACGATTGAAACTTCAAATTTGTCATGTTGTTTGGGTGAAGCACAACAGGTAAAATGCCTAATTTAATCTGACTGGTAAGCCAGCTGACTATAAGGATGCTGACCCACTGATTGACAGACTCGCAGCTGAGTCGAGACCCAATCAATGGGTGTGGTTACACGACACCTGTGAATACCTATAAATTGTTTCCGGTTCAGTAAATGAGCAGTGCAATATGTGATTTGACAAAAGCAATTAATATCTTGTTTCTTGAGTTTCATCCAGCCATGGCTTCGTCAAAGCCATTCATTGGTTGTAAAATAGGATTGCTTTCAAAAGCTCAAAATCGATATGAGGGAATTTTGTATACTATCGACAAAGTTAACTCCACAGCTGTGCTGGCAAACGGTGAGTGGTGTGATCTGTGATCTGAGGCAACATTGTCAGTAGTCAAAGTAAGAGTGGGATTGCGATTTAGAAACAACTTTGTTTTACCTTTAGTGAAGTGTTTTGGGACGGAAGGGAGACCCACTGACAGACCCACGCCACCCAAAGAGGATGTCTATGAATACATAACTTTCCGTGGAAGTGACATTAAGGACATTACACTGTGTGAAGCCCCAAGATCTTATGGCCTACCCCAAGATCCTGCGATAATACAAGTACTGTATAAAAATATTGCATGGCTCAAGCTGTTGAGAATTTCCTCATTTCAGCACTTATTTATTTATTATTTTTAATAGTCATCCAGTTCAGGCTCTGCTGGCATCTATCAAAGTCTTGGACCCTTTAGCCCTTTGAGCATTCCATTCTATAATCAGCTTGCTGCCAACTCCTTTCTCAACCAGCAGTGTGCTGCAGCTCTTGGTCTTGGTAAGTCATTAAGCACAAATGTATTACTTATTGACCATAAATTTCCATTGTTACATTTAAAAATGTGGCTTGTTTGACTGTGATTTTCCTCACAGGGCCTATGCCTCCAGATCTGCATGTCAGACGAGGACCCATGATTGAAAAGGCTGTTCAGACTCTCCGGGTGGAAAGATCTAGACAGAGGAGAGGGTTAACGGAGTCTCAGGAGCAGCAGTGGAACAGGAGGAAGCCCCAGAGGACCAACAGGGAGACTTCCCAAACTCAAAGAGACAATGGAGCCACCAGTAAGGCTGTGGAGATATTACTGAATGATAAATGTCATCTGATATTGAATGAAATGTCTGCTTGATTAAATGGCTATTGGAGTATTTCACACAAAAGCCTACGTGTGCAGTTGTGAACAATTTGGTGAGTGTATATGTCATATGATCACAAGCCCATTCAGGTCCAGGTGTGACCAGTTCTCAGCAGAAACACCAGCAGCAGAAGATTGAAAACAGGGCACCAGCCAGAAGGTCAGGTAATCTAAAAACCAGTTCATAAAAATGGAAATAAAAAAAAAATTTTCAGCTCACCCCTCCTCCTCCCACATCAGTAACACGAAGGCGTAGGAGCCATGGCAGAGGCCAGCTGATCGTGGCCAACGTTCCATCGCCCCTCCTCAAGTTTGACTCAGACTTCGACTTTGATTTATCCAATGCACAGTTTATCAAGGAGGAGCTTGAGAGGGAGGTGCAGGAGAAAATGAACATTAAAGGTGTGTTGAGCTGAAGTTGCTACGGCATGGAAAACTCCTTATTTTAGACTGATGTAAAGAGAAATGATAAAAGACGTGCTAAGTGAGAACAGAAACTGTTAAATCAATCTGCCTCATTGCTGAAATGAAGATGACCCCCTTTCTTTATTTGGGTTAAAGATGATAATCGTGAGATGGAGAAAGAAGAAACTCCACACTTGACTGCAGTTGATGACCTTGGCTCTAAGTGCTACTACAACAAATCAAAGTCTTTTTTTGACAACATCTCGTCTGATAACCGGCTCAGGTGACTTATTCAAATCCCTCGATCCATTTCTTGTGTTGCATATTTTTCAGTTTTATTGTCTTGATAGTTTCAGGTTAACGTGGGCAGAGGAGCGAAAGCGCAATCTGGAGACTTTTGGGGTCACTGGTCGGTTCTTCAGGGGCCAAGGATTCAGAGGTAGAAACACTGGACGAAGAGGACGAGGAGGAGCTCAGATCTAGCACTAAATCTAGACTGGACAGCTGTAAAGACTGGAGTTTATATGATAAAGGCAAACACTCAAGAATTATTGGATTTATTTATATCACAAATGAACTTTTTCCCCATATACTTTTTTCTCAATGCCAACAGTTTTCACTGTAATTTGCTTTAATTATGGGCAGTAACTTTGAGTTTTTGTTCCCCAAAGCGGGATATTGTTTAGGCCTAAACTTTTCATTTAATTCTGCTCATGCATGTTCATTTGTGAAATGTCTATTTAAAGATTTTGCTCTCGTAAATAAATCTTGATATGTGCATTTATTTAGATGTAATTTCAATATAAAATAAGGTGGAACTTATACTTTTGTGAACTCCTTTTTATTGTTTAAAATTTAGGTGTTCTATTCTAATATACAATTTAGACATTTTTCTCCAACTCAAGTTGTGTTCTCATTTTTGGAGATTCGTTTATCACATTTAAATGAAACTGGGACTTTAATAGTCCAGGTGCCTTCATTTGAACCCATTTGGATGACCTGGATGCATATTTTATTCATATATCTTTGTTTTCTTTATTTTGCCGTCCTTGTAAAATTATGAATGCAAACTGATCGGCAGTTTATTTCTTTTACATTATTACTGTTTTGAATACTAACACGTGCCTGATTATTTTCCCCCTCTAGATTTTATTTTGCATAAATATTTTCATTATTTACAAAACTACACAAATTGCAAATGCTTTAGTTGTAAATGTAACAAAATGATTATTTTGTTTTACAAATTAATTTTTGAAAAACACCGTGCTTTTTGTGCATGCACAAAGATTGGGGGTGCTGTTCCGACCTGAGCGCAGCAATCTGCAGCTCTGTGACAGAGTTCAGCTGAACTGATTTTTTTTCTTTTTTTGCGATTTTTATTCACGTTTTTGAGGCACGGAGATTCCACGGCAGAACCAGGATGTTAAACGCAACTTTTCTAAATGCAACTTTCTTTTCAGCGCTCCCCAGAGCGTTTGCGCACTGGACAGCGGCAGCGCACGTAGTCTGCAGATTGGTTGGCTGGCACGAATCAAAGGATTCTCCGGTTAGTGGTAGGTTACTCAGTGCCTGGACTGTACCAAAATACGAGGGAGAGGAACGTTTCCCATCACGTTGTATTTTGTAATTCCCCACAGATATGTGTGCGCTAAGTATAGCATTATAATTAAATACCCAATGTTTAATTTCTTTCAGACGGATCAGGCTTTTTCCTTATTTCCTTCCATGGAGACGGGGATCATGGCGTTTCTGCACCCCCCTCCGATCTCTAATTATGGAGAAACTATGTAACCAAATAGAAGGCTGCGCACGAGATAAACATTAGAATAAAAAGAGCGCTTTTATTTTCCTTATGACAAAATGTCGGTGGCGTTTTCATCGGCGCGCCCCAGGAGTAAAGGGGAGGTGACACAGCAGAACATACAAAAGGTAAAAACAACCCTTACGGCGTCGCGCGCGTCCTTTAGACAGAACGGTGTGAATGAAGGGTGAGTGATCCACCTCCAGCGGCAGAAAGTCGTCTCAAGACAATATCAAAGAAATGGCAACTGGTAGGTTCTTTGCAACGTTATCCAGCCAGAGGGGTGCGAACCAAACAAAGCCATGACGGGGGGAGGATGTCGGAGCTCGCTTCCAGCGCCCTCGGATGCTGTCATCCATCCATCCATCCATCCATCCTCACCGACTCTTTCTGACCAATCATCGTATTCAGCTCAGTGACTTGTTTTCAAGATATGAGATCGATGAGTTGGTCGGTTCGTCGACCGCATTAAACTTTAATTGGGGAAAAAAATAGGAATCAATAAAAATAATCGGTTAATGACTGTTAAATAATTAAGCAGCAAAAATGTCAACTCAGTTTTATGATTTCTGATTGAATTAATACATCAAACATCACAGGATAGATGCTCATCGAATCACATGAAAATTCTACAGAGGTATAAATACGTCTTTATGCTGTTTATTTTGTTTTTAGCTTTCGGCACAATTTCAATGACTTACTTAAATATCAAATGCAGTTTTCAGATAATTATAATTTATTACTCTTAGTTATATTGCAGCCATTTGCTAAAATCGATTAAATGCTTTTTTCTTCAGTAATGTACACACAGCACCACATATTGACAGAAAAACGCAGACTTTTAGAAATTTCATGCAGACTTATTAAAAAAACACTGAAATAGGCTGGTCCTAATTCAGACCCTTTGCTCAGTATTTAATAGAAGCATCCTTTTGAGCTAATGCAGCCTTGAGTCTTCTTGGTAAAGATGCAACAAATTTCTAACACCTGGATGTGGGAATCTTCTGTCATTCCTCCTTGCAGATCCTCCAGTTGTGTCAGGTTGGATGGTGAATGTTGGTGGACAGAGATGCTCAATTGGGTTTAAGTCTGGCCTCTGACTGGGCCATTCAAGAACGGTCACAGAGTTGCTGTGAAGCTGATTCTTCCATATTTTAGCTGTGTGCTTAGGGTCATTGTCATGTTGGAAGGCAAACCTTTGGCCCAGTCTGAGGTCCTGAGCACTCTGGAGGACATTCTTGTCCAGGATATGTATATGTCCACATTTATCATTCTCTCAATTGCAACCATCCTGTCCCTGCAGCTGAAAAACACTCCCTCAGCATGATGCTGCCACCACCATGCTTCACTGTGGGGACTGTATTGGACAGCTGATGAGAGGTGCCTGGTTTTCTCCACACATGCCACTAACGAAGAGTGAAAAATTGATTTGGGTCTGAATTCTTTAGCTATCCAAAACAGCCTGACCCCTCAAGAAAAAAGAAGGGCTCCTTCCTGTTTGATCGTGAATGTATTACATTATTTTTGAAATGCTGAGTTCAGTCTTGTAGCCTCAGACCTGACCAGACTTTGTTGGAAGGTTATAATCCCATTACACCTGAAGTAAAAGTAACACTACATTAAAAAATATAACATACATACACGGAGGAGGCAGTGTGATGGTCTGGGGTTGCCTTCAAGCTCCAGGATCTGGACTGCTTGCTGTAATTGATGGAACCATGAATTCTGCTCTGGAGAACACCATGAAGGAGAATATCTGACATTTAATCTTAAATAGATCATTCATGCTGGATCATCCCCTAATGTGGTTGAATTATAACACATCTGCAAAGAAGAGGGAGACAAAATCCTTCTCCAGTGATGAGACTTGTTACCAGTTACCACAAACAGCTGATTGCAGTTAAGATAAATTCAGAGGCCAGTGACTTTTTTTTACAGGGCTGTGAAGCTGGTGAATTCTGGGAATTCCAGTTTGTCACATGTTTGGAAAAGTATTGAAGCTGTTGTGTCTTCCATATAGATGCTGGATGAAAATCATCATTTAATACAATGTATTATGGATTACCAAAGCAAAGGCAAGACAGCTGAATGCACACAGTAAGTATTTGCTTATTTGTTTGTCCCCACAGTGCAGTGTCTCCTAAAAGGTCTACTGGCTCTTTGGTCCCACAGGTATCAGCAGATCCTGCACAGGAATCTGGTTTACCTGGCCACAATAGCTGATTCTAATCAGAACATCCAGTCACTCCTGCCTGCAGTGAGTTTGCGGTTCCATGAGCATGTAATACAAATCTGTTCAATGGAAGAATAAAAACAATGGATATTATTGAAGTTATTCCTCTTCACTTCCAGCCTCCCAGTTCCAACATGTCTGTGGGTGCTGGTGGAGGACATGCTCCAAGCAACCTCAATGACAACATGACACCAGGACTGCCCCCCACGTCCACGATGCAGAGCCAAATAAACAATGGTTAGTCACCGTGTGTTTTAATCTTTAATGTTTGTTCACCTGCTTATATTTTTGACAGATCTGCTGAGTTAACAGTTTTAGATGTTTTGTTGTCTGGACTGTTTGCTCGTCCCATCCGGAAATTTCTGCATGTAGCCACATCCTGTCAGCATCAGTCTCTTTTGCTCCTGATATAAATGCTTGTAAATCTCTTTCGATGCTTACCTTACCGTCGGGTTGCCATGTGAGCATCTTCCATTTTAATTTGACCTCCTGCTACACAGTTTTCTGTACATTTTCTGCACCATTGTCAAGCTTCCTGTTAGGATGAAATGAATGTGGGACTAAATGAGTAATATGGCCCCACATGAGGACATGTTCTGGCTCCTCTGACTGTGCATGTGTGTCGTCAGGCCCCAGCCATGCCCCCATGCAGTCTGGTCACCATCAGTCGGCTGTTCCCTCCACCAGCAGCTTTGGTGGCTCAGTCTCCAGCTACAACCACGCAATGCCCCCCTCTCAGGGCAGCATGATCCAGGGCCCTGGACCTGTTCATGGTTCCCCTTCCTCTTCCACCTCCTCTTCCTCTTTCTCATCCTCCCGCAGCAACCTCAACATGCAGTCTAGCCAAGGTGAGCTGGTTATAGAGATGCTCAATCGTTTGGCTATCAGACACCTGTCCAGCCTTATAAACTAAACCCAAACTCAGAAAATGCTAGGGTCCATTTTTCTTAATTTTGATGTTGGAACCTTTAGCACTCACAAGTTAGGGTTAGGGTTTACAAGTTAGGGTTTTGAACTCACTTTAACAGCTTGCTCCCAACAAACATAATCGTTGTCAGTGTCCACATTCAGTTCATCTGAAAGCTTTCCTGCCTCCTCCCAACTTTTGGTTTTAGTTTGAGCTTTCCTAGCCTTTGATTCCTCACCCTGAGTTGCAGCCCTGAACTTTTTCTGGATGTCCAAGTGTTTTTATTGTTTCTCTGCTTTTGCTTTTGCTTCTCCAGTTTCGCTATTCCTTCTAAATGTCTAGCCTGGCCTGCCAGACTCCTTCTTTGTTTAATTCTGCACAGAGAAAGAGTCTGGGAACTCTCCTATTCAAATAACTGAGCCAATCAGTGCTGAGTAGCGTATGTCACATATCACAATGCCGAGTTTTTCATAAACATGGCGACTGAAGCGAAGATCGCTGCGGCTCTTTCCTCTGTTTTAAATGACTTGAATGTCTTTAAAACCCCAACAAGTAGAAGTGCTAAAAATTTCTTACAAAAAAAAAAAGATGTTTGCGCCGTCGCCAGATGCCATTTTTGACTACAGCTACAAAACTACAGCGTCGCGCAGTACAGTCGGCATTTCCGTCTTTTTTCTGATTGGTTATTTTTGAGCTGCCTAGACCCGCACCTCGTGCCTCTCTGCCTGTGAATTACCAGACTCTTTCTCTGTGCAGAATTAAACAGAGGACGAGTCTGGCAGGCCAGACTACTAAATGTCCAAGGAAAGTAGTGAAAGCATCTATTCAAAGCAAGTTCCCCTCTGAATGTAGGACCCCATATGGCTTTATTCCCCCTGTCATCCGATTGCTGTGGAAAGCCTGTTTGTTGTTTAATGACATACCTTTATACTTTTTGCTATTAATGCTGGTTTGTAGAACATCTTTTAATGTGTGAGATCACTCGCTCACCTCCTTCCCAGTCTCCATGATGCACCAACAATCTGCTCCTCCACACTACTCATCAGCCCAGTCTGGGGGACAACACTATCAGGGACAGCAGGCGATGGGCATGATGGGTCAGGGTAATCAAGGAAACAGCATGATGTCCCAGAGGGCTATGGGATCCTACCGCTCATCTCAGCAAGGTAGGATGGAAGACAGTCATGCTAATTTGTTATGGCACTCAGCACAGTGAGGTTGTATGCGTTCAGTTTGATTGTGCGTGTTTGTGTGAGAGGAACCATCAGACTATACAGAACAATGTGTTTCCCATTATTGCGTTTGACAACAATGGCATTTTAAAAGAGTTGGGCCTCCTTTGTTTTATTTTCCCAAAGTCTCCTTGGTTGTATTACAATACAAGGAAAAAATGGGAGTGATGCTAAACATCTGCAACTGTGCTGACTCCAGTTTCTTTCTTTCCTCGCGTCTCATTAGATTATTGTTTTTTAAAGTCACTTTACTTGATATGTCAGCAAGTTGCTAAATTTTGCTCCAATCTGTTCCATGTCCTCTTTTATGAGTGTAGTAGAGGATACATAAAACACACAAGTGTTTTATTTACTTCAGCTCTGAAAGTGCTATAGCTAGCTGCTGTCACTGTTAGCTTTTGTAATAAAAAAAAACAGTTATCTTAAAGGGACAATGTGTAGTTTTATCCATAACCTCTGGAAATATCCATCAAAATGTTGTTGAAAATGAATGATATGATTCCCAGTTGTTGAAAAATATTGGTGGCTTCTCAACATATAACCGTAAAAATCAGGTCTAAAGTACATGGGAGCGGGTCTAAGGATATTTCTCAATGTCAAGGCGCCTGACCTTGAGAGGCGATGTTTGGCGAGGCCAGGCGCCTTGCTTACGAGGACACTGTCCTTCCTTGGTCAAAGAAAACTTAGACTTAGTTGCTGTGGAAGACCTGATGCTGTCGGGGCAGACGGCTCCTCTGATGGCGTTTCCTTGCCTTACCTTACTTGGCTCATCTGGACTTTGCTGAATATAAATTTTTACTGGTTGTGTGTGTGTGTGTGTGTGTGTGTGTGTGTGTGTGTGTGTGTGTGTGTGTGTGTGTGTGTGTGTGTGTGTGTGTGTGTGTGTGTGTGTGTGTGTGTGTGTGTGTGTGTGTGTGCGTGCGTGCGCGCGCGCGCATATGTCCATTAATGCTTTTAAACTGTTATGAGAATTTGGGGTCATTTTAATTCTCTAAAGCACTCTGAGTCTAACTTTGCTTGAAAGCACTTTATAAATAAAATCTGATTGATTGAAAATGGTTAAATGGAACAGACTTGCATCACATGACCGTGGCTTCCACGGCGGTCATGTAACGTCACGTGACACGGGAGATAACGTTATATTTTATACGTATTTCTTTCAATGTAAATGTATAACGAGCCTAACATGACCTTAAATTGTGTATATTTGTTAAATTAAATACAGGTGCTGGCCAGTAAATTAGAATATCATCAAAAGGTTGAAAATATTTCAGTAATTCCATTCAAAACGTGAAACTTGTACATTATATTCATGCAATGCACACAGACCAATGTATTTCCAATGTTCATTACATTTAAATTTGATATTCATAAGTGACAACTAATGAAAACTCCAAATTTGGTATCTCAAAAAATTAGAATATTCTGAAAAGGCTGAATATAGAAGACACCTGCTGCCACTCTAATCAGCTGATTTACTCAAAACACCTGCAAAGGCCTTTAAAAGGTCCCTCAGTCTTGTTTTGAAGGCACCACAATCATGGGGAAGACTTCTGACTTAACAGCTGTCCAAAAGACAATCATTGACACCTTGCACAAGGAGGGCAAGACACAAAAGGTGATTGCTAAAGAAGCTGGCTGTTCGCAGAGCTCTGTGTCCAAGCACATTAACAGACAGGCGAAGGGACGGAAAAAATGTGGTAGAAAAAAGTGTACAAGCTCTAGGGATAACCGCACCCTGCAGAGAATTGTGACGACAAACCCATTCAAAAATGTGGGGGAGATCCACAAAGAGTGGACTGCAGCTGGAGTCAGCGCTTCAAGAACCACCACGAGGAGACTCATGAAAGACATGGGATTCAGGTGTCGCATTCCGTGTGTCAAGCCACTCTTGAACAAGAAACAGCGCAAGAAGCGTCTCGCCTGGGCCAAGGACAAAAAGGACTGGACTGATGCTGAGTGGTCCAAAGTTATGTTTTCTGATGAAAGCAAGTTCTGCATTTCCTTTGGAAATCAAGGACCCAGAGTCTGGAGGAAGAGCGGAGAAGCACAGAATCCACGTTGCATGAGGTCCAGTGTAAAGTTTCCACCGTCAGTGATGGTGTGGGGTGCCATGTCATCTGCCGGTGTTGGCCCACTCTGTTTCCTGAGGTCCAGAGTCAATGCAGCCGTCTACCAGGAAGTTTTAGAGCACTTCATGCTTCCTGCTGCTGACCAACTTTATGGGGATGCAGACTTCACCTTTCAACAGGACTTGGCACCTGCACACAGTGCCAAAACCACCAGCACCTGGTTCAAGGACCATGGTATCCCTGTCCTTGATTGGCCAGCAAACTCGCCTGACCTTAACCCCATAGAAAATCTATGGGGTATTGTGAAGCGGAGGATGCAATACGCTAGACCCAACAATGCAGAGGAGCTGAAGACGACTATCAGAGCAACCTGGGCTCTCATAACACCTGAGCAGTGCCACAGACTGATCGAGTCCATGCCACGCCGCATTACTGCAGTTATTGAGGCAAAAGGAGCCCCGACTAAGTATTGAGTGCTATACATGCACATTCTTTTCATGTTCATTCTTTTCAGTTGGCCAACATTAGAGAAACAAACATTTTTTCATTGGCCTTTAGAATATTCTAATTTTCTGAGATACCAGATTTGATGTTTTCATTGGTTGTCACCTATAAATATCAAAATTAAACGTAATAAACATCGGAAATACATTGGTCTGTGTGCATTGCATGAATATAATGTACAAGTTTCACGTTTTGAATGGAATTACTGAAATATTTTCAACCTTTTGATGATATTCTAATTTACTGGCCAGCACCTGTATAGAAGTGAGTTACTATCCACTAGCCACCGGAGTGGCAATGAGGGGCACCTGCTGCACCCCATTGCTAGGAAAAATACACACTTTCACTTTAAATAAACTGTGAAATGTAAATTTGACAACAGTAAGGTTTATAAAAGAGTGTTGTTTTAAGGTGGTGATTCACTCTCATATTGCTTTGGTATGGCCATTAAACCATCAATACAAGTACAACTGTTCTCTGATTTCACTTATTTTATCACTTGTAAGTCGCTTTGGACAAAAGCATCTGCAAAATACATAAACATAAACATTTCCAAACTAAGTTGGTTCAAAGAACTAAGTTAAAAAAATTAAAATAAATAAACTATTGTCTGTTCTTGCAGCACAAGTTCAAATGAAAATGTTCTTGTGAAATGGTTTGCTTCATTTTGTGTACTTTCTGGTTTTACAATATTAGTTCCTGCAGTTTGTTCTGATTTAGGTTTAATAAAACATTATAAAAATATGGGTAAAACTTTACAATAAGGGTCTCGTTATTAACTTTGCTATTGTTGTTGACTTTTAAGTTTATGACAAAGGGCTTGGGGGGTCTGCTTAGTAATCTATGACAATATACCTTTAAGTAGTTGTTAATACTTTATTTAATAGTTTAATAATGCTTAATAATGCACAAATTAACATTAATAAAAGGATGCCCTTTGTAAAGTGTTACCAAACTATAGAAATTTTAATCGAGGGTTTCTGCACACCAGCACCGCCAATAGACACTTCCTGATGCAGTCTGCTTTTGATCCTCAAAGCTGATACTTAACCGGACATAAATTGGATTTCAGACCCAAAGCAGTGGATGATTTTACTGCCACTGTTTCGAGTCCAAGTCAGCAGCCAGTTGATCATATTGTTTAACCAATCTTGGTGTTGCCTGTCTTTCAGGATCCGCCCAACACTACATGGGACAAGACGAGTTCTACGGAGACCAGTATGGACACACTCAGAGCTCCAGAGATCCAGTAAACCAGCAGTATTATGCTGATGGTAACCGTGCACATCCATAATCCTAATCTGTTCAGCTATCTCACACACACACACACACACACACACACACACACACACGCACGCACGCACGCACGCACGCACACACACACACACAACAGTGGTTCATACCATTTCCTTTCTGCACAATCCATCACTGACTCAATCAATGATCATGGCGGAGATGTTTAGACAAATGCAAGAGAACCACTTTTTTTGTTTGTTTTGTTTGTTTTAAAAATTTTTTTATCTCCGTATATGCATGGCTGTGCTATGCTAGAACTTTGTTAAGAGGCATGAAAATAACGTTTTAAGCTAATTTGGGCAGCAGTTGCTCAGTAGGTAGAACGGGTTGTCCAGTAATCAGAAGGTTGTAGTTTCAATCCTAGCTCGTGGCATAGAATGCTGCTGTTTTGTCCATGGGCAAGACAATTAACCTGCTTTGCCTGCTGGTGGTGGTTGGAGGGACTGGTGGTGCCAGTGTTCAGCAGTCTTGCTTCCATCAGTGTGCCTGAGGGCAGCTGTGGCTCATTCCCACCAGCGTGTGAAAGTGTGTGTGAATGAGTGGATGACTGATTGTCCTTCCCAGCTAGCACACATAGGTGGGCCCCATATGGAATGTGTATGGACAAGCTGTATGGGTCCCACCAGGGTTTGTCCGCAATTTCCAGGGTGGCCTCACAGCGATTTGCCTAGAAAAATCTTTGCCCCCATAGATTTTAACGGGCCCTACATGGGTTTTCAGAGGGTTTACAGTCTTTGTGGGCAAACCCTTGTGTGGCCACCGTGGAAACTGCATACAAACCATGGTGGGACCCAAACAGCTTGTCCACATATGTTCCATATGGGGCCCACCTATGTGTGCTGGCTGGTTTGGGAGGGTTGTACAAGTACAGCCCATTTACCATCATTTGTTTTCCAAATTTGCTCTAGCAGCTGTAAGACCTTCGTTCATCAGATTTTTTTTTATTTTTTATTTATTTTTTGCTTTAGTAGAGAAAGGTTTGGAAGTTGTAAATGATATTCTCCACAGGTCACGGGGAGTACTCCTATCAGCAGCCTGCATATAGTGAACAAGGCTACGACAGGTCGTTTGATGAGTCTTCACAGCATTATTATGAAGGAGGTACCCGTCTTTTCTCAAATATCAATGTTTTCTTCATCTTTCCCTGCAATTGCACACTTGCTCACTGGCATTTTAAAACTAATCTAACGGTGATTAAACCTGACAAGAATAACCATCCCTTCAGGTAACTCTCAGTATGGCCAGCAGCAGGCCTCGTACCAACAGAGCTCTGGCCAGCAGCAGCCCTTCAGCCAACCACAGTACTCCTCTCAGCAAGGCTACAGCAGCCAGGCACCAGGATACGGTGGGAACCACACACTGACCGCAAACATAGATATGTTTTCAGTAAATGACTGGGCACATGCTTTTAACTTTCATTACAGGTCCTGGGCAGGGAGGATCGTCTCAGTTTTCTCAGTATCAGCAGGGTCAGAACCATCAGTTTGGATCTTACCGCTCTACCCAAGGAGGCCCAACAGGGCAAACTCAGAGGCCCTACGCTTACGAGCAGGTGCATTACTGAATCTATGCAAAAAGAAAAAAAAAATCACGTATAATACAGATTTTCTAATGAAATTACTGACTTTTATTTGTTTAAATCTGTACTTATTGTACTTTCACACATTTCCAGTGTTTATATGGCTCCTTCTTGGTCTTTTTTTAATTAAATTTTAACATCACATAAGTTTTTTTTACTGTAAAAAGCTGAACCTAAAGAGAAACCAAGTTTATATGTGGTTCATTCTAACATAAAAGAGATCATTACACTAAAGACTTTCTTTCTTCGTGTTTTTCTTTTTACATTTCAGGGTCATTATGGGAATTATCCACAATAAGGCACCTCGTTGTTGATCGCAGAGGAAAATGTGATGTGACACCGTTTTCGTGCTCATCATATGGAAGAGAAGATCTCTGTGCATTAGATCAACTTTCTAGTATGTCAGTATTCCAATCAAGATGATCTAATAAATGTGATGCTTCCGTCCTCATGGCGACTTTCTAGCTGGTAGTTGAGAACAGAAAATGCCACTTCTCACTTAAAAATCAGGGTACTTGAAGAATCAGGACAGTTAATCTGCATTAAGAATGAAATAGACTGCTACAAATCCGACTTTTATTCATTATGTGTGTCAGCCACCAAGAGAAGTGTGCTCTGTTCTTTTGGCTTTGCCTTTCAAATGTTCTGCCTTCAGTGCTTTATTGACAAGCCGCTTTGTTACTCTTGTTTTGTTTTATCTCGTGCACAAGGCAGGATGTTAAAAGCAAGGCTATAGAAAGTCAATTAGCCTTGGAGGAAATGTTCTTTGGCATTCTTAAGCCTATAGTCCAGCTCTTGCATTATCCTGTAGAGATACTCTTTAATCTCATGACAGGAGAAACGAATGGCACCGAGATGAAACTGTTATTCCTTAAACCTGATGGGATTTGTCTGTGTTCGTCAAACTGTGACGTGATGCTGTGAGGTCTAACATTAAGTGTATTCACTTTCTACATTTGTCATAGGCCTAATGCATAGCCGACTGATATGATATGACTGTATATCATTGTCCGTGGTTAGCCTACAATGTTGTAGTATTGTTGACACTATGTTTTATTGCAGCATTCCTCTGCAGCAACATATTCCTCCTGCACAGGTGACAAAACATATTTTACACAATTTTACTTTCTCAGCACTTTGTTTTGTAGCAGTTGTGCACATACTGTCTGATATTTAGTTTTTTTTTTCTATTTTAAATAAGTTATTCTCAAAAAGCCAAAGTAACCCAGGAACAGAGCAGGACCACGTCTTTCACCTCTTCTTTAATAAGTGCAATAGACCCAGTCTGTTATATTGAAGGTAGCTGTAATGGTGAATACTTGTGATTGTGGCTACAGTTTGTTGGTGCACAGTAAAGGCGAAGGGAAAGTTTGGTTTGTCTCAGATTTATGTGTTTACATCTTTTCAACAGATGTACTATTTAAGGACATTTTGTATTTGTTTATGTAACTAATGGTTAGACTGTGTGAAGTTTGTTGTCAAAAACAGAAAACTTTATTTTAATTTTAATTAAAAACATTTTATCAACATACGTGACATCCAGTGAAGCAAATATGGTTTGGATTAAAACAAATGCTGCCGTATCCATCCATCTGCCCATCCATTATCAGCATGCATCATTGTTGAATCATTGTTTTCATTCATTTATTTTAAATTAACAAACAATACAGACAACACCTCAAAGTTGCTGTTTCTTACATTTGAATCAGAAGTATTATGTGTACGTTGATCTTTGCAGTATTCTCTTGAAACTCAACTTACCTCAGAGTGTAGAACGACACAATTATTGCAGTAATTTATCAGGGTTAATCGAGAATGGGAAATACGTGGCTGTAAAACAGCTGAGTAACTATACCACCCAACACTGACAATCACAGGCTTCTTATGCTGTAACAAACTGTTTTTGTTGTCTCATGTTACTGTGGTCTAAACATTAATGACAAATCTTTTCCAGATCTGTTGCGTCTTCACTCTCGAGTGCTACACTGTGTGTGTGTGTGTGTGTGTGTGTGTGTGTGTGTGTGTGTGTGTGTGTGTGTGTGTGTGTGTGTGTGTGTTATTGTTTGTTAAAAAGCATAGAGTTGGATGTGCATAATCTACATGTGAATGTTATTGACTTATCTACTGTGTGACTGCATCGCCTGATCTTTTTCTGCTGTCTTTTGTTACTTTTTGTTATAAAAATAAAGTAACATTAATATGTTGGTGTTTCTACATCTCTGTTAACGTAAAGATGTTGTAGCAGAATGCTTTAGAAACCCTTTTGTCTACCATTAGCATAATTCATGATGTGCATTTCACATTTTTGTCCACTTGGGGGCGGCAAACTCATATAGGCTAGCGTGCCACCCGCCATAAGCAATAGAAGAAGAAAAAAACAACTGAAGAAGAAGAAAATTGTCCCATTGCGGTTTCCGTAGTGTCGTTAGAACGTGATTTTATCCACATGCCTTGAAGTAACTTAAGTTATAATCTTCTATAAAGTTAAGATTGCTTAACGGGCTATGTTTCATTTATTTTACCGACCTCATTTTGTTTTTCGTGATCCTAGTTATATGGAAAGTGGACGTGACATTATTCACCACCTTAGCTAGTTTTAAAGGCCGTCAGTTCTTAGTGGTATAATGTTTACGGTAGTGAAAACACCTCGTTGGTTCTTGTTAGAAACGTCTTTAGTGCGCAGCTTTGGACAAGAGGTGAAAAATAACATCTGGAGTTCGTTTGGTCTACGTGGCTTACCTGTATCAGCGGTTTGGAGATGCACAGGTGGAGGTGTTAGAGATGTTTCCACCTCCACTCAACTTTACGGAAAATCCCGAGGAAACCCGAAGAAGAAGGAGGCGTCCGAAAAGAAGCTGGTAGGTGTTTCTTTATCATCACGTTTCTTTCCTGATCCAGTTATCTAATCTTTTAAATGGAAGAGCTTTTATAAGTGTTTACATTTTCTTTATTTCGACCCAAAAGCTGCACCTGTGAAGGACAGTAATTTCATTTGGTCATATTGGTGTTGTTACTTCTGTGGTTATATTTCTGCACATTAAGCATTATTTTATTGTCATATCCAACTCGATCACAGAGCCGACACTTTGTGGACTACCGGCGTGTGAAGCTGGTGGCTGGATCAGGGGGTAAAGGAGCCTGCAGCTTCCACAGCGAACCTCGAAAAGAATGGGGCGGCCCAGATGGAGGGAATGGAGGTGACGGAGGAAGCATCATTATAAAAGGTATGCCAGCTGTCTCATTCTTCTTATGTGCTCCACAGTTTCCCTAGCATAAATCCAATGTGATATGAGGTGTTGTGTACAAAACCATCTGTTTGTTTTTATGCTTGTAGCTGACCGGTTTGAGAAATCCCTGGCACAAGTGGTTCCAGTTTACAGAGGAGAGGACGGGCAGTCGGGTGGCAGCAAGAATTGTTATGGTCGGAATGGCAGGATAACGTACATCTCTGTGAGTCAAAGCCCACAAGTTTGCTCTTTAACCTGCTCTTTGACCAGTGTATGATGTCTTGTTGAATTGTTTTCATAGGTGCCTTTAGGTACTGTAGTTAAGGAGATGGGAGAAACCGTAGTGGACCTTGCTGAGCACGGTCAGGAGTATTTGGCAGTATTTGGAGGAGCTGGAGGAAAAGGGAATCGATTCTTTCTGTCCAATGAGAACCGAGCCCCAGTGACAGCGACCCAGGGTATGTCAGGTCAGGAGCGCGTGCTGCAGCTAGAGTTACGCACCATGGCTCACGCTGGACTGGTAGGAGGAAGATCAGAGTCGATGTTCAGAAAAGGTGTTTGGGTTCTCAGCTGTTTGTCTTAATTTCTTCAGGTTGGCTTTCCGAATGCTGGGAAGTCCTCCCTTTTGAGAGCTATCTCCAATGCCAGGCCTGCTGTGGCTGCTTATCCTTTTACAACCCTCAATCCTCATGTTGGTATTGTCGAGTACAGGGATCACGAGCAGGTTGCAGGTAAGTATCTTTATGCAGATCCTTTATTCTTCATATAATTCTAATTATTTCAGCTGCATTTGCTGTTATGATTCTACCTTTTCTGTTTGCAGTTGCTGACATCCCAGGCATCATTCAAGGAGCCCACCAAAATCGAGGCTTAGGGATCTCCTTCTTGCGCCACATTGAGCGTTGTCGTTTTCTCCTCTTTGTTCTGGACCTGTTGGTGCCAGAGCCCTGGACTCAGCTCAAACACTTGTGTTATGAACTGGACCAGTACGAGCCTGGTCTCTCTCAGAGGCCTCAGGTCATTGTAGCAAACAAAATGGACCTGCCAGAGGCCCGAGAGAAGCTGGAGACCCTGAAGAGCCATGTTAGCCAGAGAGTCATCCCTGTGTCCGCTCTCACTGGAGAAAACACAGAGGAGCTCATCCTCCACCTTAGGGAGTTGTATGATGGTTACCTTCAAGGTTGTGGTGAAGAGAAACCTATTAGGTGGTAGGAAATGTTTTTGTAAACTGTTTTGATTTATTTAAATTGTTAATAAACTAATAAATAAGACAAACATTTGTGTTTTAGAAGCATGAATTGCTTCATTTATTCCATATAGTTTTACACTGTTCAGCAATTAAACAATTTATAACACCTAAGAGCTCATATTTATAGTGGTTATCATTATAAACCAAGTTTTTAATATAAGTTTATAATATATAACCAAGTTAGATAATATTTGTAGATTAAATCAAATAATTAAAAATCACCCATTTCAATCAGATGAATTAGAGGTGTGTAATCATGAGCAGCCAGCAGAGGGCAGCAATGTACCAACCGACAACCTCTTTTGCGAAACTAAAATTTAGAAAATCATGCAAAAGTATTTTTTTCCAGTAATTTTTCTTAGAGTGGGACCATTTAAAGGCTCAGGAACCTTTCTCATGTGTTTTGGATTAATTACCTGATTAGAATGTGACACTTTGAGTCTAGAGTGTTGAATCTTTTCACAATATTCTGATTGAGATTTTGAAGTTTGGGTTTTCATGAGCTTTAAATCATATTCATCACATTTACAACAAATAAAGGCTTGAAATATCTGGCCTTGCTTGTAATGAGTAATACAGGTGAAACTTGGAAAAACTACAATATGGTGCAAAAGTTCATTTATTTCAGTAATTCAGCTTAAAAAGATGAAATTTACACATGAGATGGAAAAGCCAGCTATTTCAAGACTTTGTTATAATGTGATCATGATGGCTTACAGCTTATGGAAACCCCAGATTCTAAATCTCAGACTCAAGTCTAAATCAAATCTAACTATTTATAAAGTGCTTTTCATACAGTGAGTGCAACTCAGTGCTGTACAAGACTAAAAATAACCACACAGTCTATTTCCTCCCCCTCCCCAACAGATTAAAATCCAAGAGCCCTTCCACATCTCCCACCCTTATTCCTAATCCCACACACACACACACACACACACACACACACACACACACACACACTTAAAGCAACTAAATAAAACAGGGATTTTAAGTGAAGATATATTGGACCTCTGAAAAATATAATCATGCACATGTACTTAGTATTTTATATGTACTGTACACTGATAGTACTATATCTAACTTACTGTGTTGAAGTGTGTGGAAACACTATAAAACCACCCTATATTCATTATGTACGTTACAAAAACGAGCGGTTCAGATGATGAGCATTTATTTCTTAAGCTCTAATTTAAACTGTAAAAAATACAAACTTTTTAAACTAACCACAGAAACCTTTATATCTTTCATAAAAAACCTCCCAAAACTAAAACTTGAAACTATTTTCATAAAGAAAAGTGTTGCTAAGGAACATTTCATATAACTGTAGTCTGGGTATCCGATTTAGGACCATCAGGGTGATCACTGTGGGCTAATAATGTTTTTAAACCAATTATTAGTCACTGTGGGCAGTGATCTCAGGAGAGCAGAGTGAACTTGGAATCCAGGTCTAAATCAGCGGATGGTTCAGGGATGGAGATGCTATCCAGTTCAAAGGTGTGTTCTGATCCTCCATCAACAAACACAACAGGTTCACAATCACTTAGCTCTTGCGCGTGCAGCCTGGTCAGCATTACTGTCAGGGCCGAATTCAGTAGAATGTCTGGACTAAGTTGGTTCTGTTCCAACCAGTCCTTTAAAATGACAGAGATATATAATTGGTTTAAAAACATTATTAGCACTCACCCACTAATGAGAGTTAGACAGGTCTAGAATTAAAATTCACTACCCCATCATGAGCAGTTGTTTCATCATGTTGTTTGGTGCTCCTTGGGACGTATTCCACTGCTGGCCCATGAACTTTAACCCTTTGATGCATGAATTATGAAATCTTCAACCATGATTTTTTAAACATTTTTTTTCATTCATCTTTAGGTGTGAATGAAACAAATTTCAACAAATATTTTTGTAACATTTTGTTAATTTACAAATAATTTATTACATGTCCACCTCAGTGGACAGCGTGCATTCTGAACATGAAATATGTTGGCTTGACTTACTGAAGATCAAATGGAGGGGCTCACATGCAATAAAGTCTTCAACATCTGTGCTTAATAGCAAAAATAAATAAATAACAATTTTGAGTACCTGTCCACTGTAGTGACCATTATGCATCAAAGGGTTAAAAAAAATAAAAACATTTTATGATTAAAAACTTAGAAATGTGACCTAATTTACAGGAAACTATCTGTCAGAATTGCACAATAATAACACCAAACCATGAAAAAGGGAATATATATTCAATACTGTACGATGAGAACAGGAGAAGGGGCTCCCGGATGCCCCGCCGGGGCAGACCCACTTGGACACATCATGGACTCCTGGGAACAGTGGAACTTGATCTGTCTTTCTCAACTGTCTGTGGAGGACTCTGAAGACGTGTGGATATTCGTGGTGTTGGTGTCAGGTTTCCTGCTCATTGGCCTTGGAGGCTACCTGGCTTACCGGAAAATCAACGAGCTGTCGAGGAATATTGGCCTGATCCCGGAGCTCAGAGATGGATTACACCGCGCTGTGAATTCACAGACTCAAATAATTGTCGAGATGAATCGTAAGCTTGGGACTTTGGCGGAGATTCATTCTTTGGCACAAAAGATGGATGCCATCAAGGAGAGAGTGGACGAATCAGTACGGATTGGGATAGATTAATGCCCATTATTGGGATTTTGAGAGGTTGAGGACCAACAAACTGTAAGACAGAGAGGAAATTATCTCTGTCTGGCCCCAAAACAATTTCTAATCGGAATCTGGCGCCCTTGAGCCAGCAAGGCTCCAACGAAAACTCCCCCATCAGAAGATATGTGGAATGTGCCATCGCTATGGCAACTCAACTCTGTATCCTTTCCCAGCCTGGGCGGGACTGCGGGAAGGCCGCTGAAACGTTCTAGGGTCACTGCAACCCTCCAAACCTCAATGCTCCTCCCCTATCCACACTGAGGTGATATGCACTGATTATCATGGCTGCAGGAACTGAAGTGGGGATAGTCCCAACTCACCACCCCACCTAGTGGACACTTATGTTGTATTGTCTGGTCTGTTGCATATCTGTCTGAGGTGTTTTTTTGCAGAGCAAAGCTGCCCTCCCGGTGAGAGGGTAACTCTGAAGTGCCTTTTTTCCCTCCACCTGAACCAATCCTCAAGTAACCCCGTTATCTCTATTAAGGTAGCACGACTCAGGGTTGCGAATGACCACAGTCCCCAATTTTTGTCATGTGTCTTTCCCATGTATGTCTGATCTTTGACTTGTGTGTACTGAAACTCTAATTTCCCTCTGGGATGAATAAAGTATCTTTGATTTGATTGATTTGATTGTATGGTAAATGGCTTGTATTTGATATAGCGCCTTCTAGAGTCCCTACCCCAGGAAGCAAGGGGGGCTAAGTGTCTTGCCCAAGGACACAATGACAGCGACAAACTGAGCGGGGCTTAAACCTGCAACTCTCCAATTACAGGGTGAGCACTTAACTCCTGCGCCACTGTCATACCATAGCTGAAGGTGTCGTCTCCAAACTTGTTTCTTCATAACAGATGGTTGAGAGGGGCTTCAGAGTTAATTACAGAGCCAGTTATTACCTGAGAAGAGGGGGAGGACAATTTAGTGCGTGAAAGACCACCTTGAGCACCACATCGCAGTCGGTATACTTTTATCAAAGCTGAACAAAAATAGTAAAAAAAAAACTACCAGTAGTTTCTACTGTTTCATATAAATGAATTTAACTGAATAATTTGGAGATTTAGAACCTTTTCAAATGATTTTGAACAAGAAATCTGCTTTTTAAAGTTACTACAGTGAATTAATAAAAACTCAACATCACTTACTGGTGTCACGGTAACAGATAAGATGTTAGATCCTGTTGGCCTCTGTTCTCTGTTATTATTGTTGTTCATCAGCACAAAGGGCACCTTCACATAGAACAGAACTGTGCTTTATTAGCTATTTTTAATGAATAATACTTTACCTATAAGAAAATACATTTTAAGCATAAAATACATTAAAAATCTGTCACTCTTTCCCATGCCGTACCTTTAATAGGCAATTGCACAATGCAAACAAAACTAAAACAAAGAAAATAAAGTGTTCATGAAAGTTGTGCTTTTCTTTCACCATCTAGTTATGTCGTCTTCCTCCGCTTATCCGGGTCACGGGGGCAGCATCCCAACTAGGGAGCTCCAGACCGTCCTCTCCCCGGCCTTCTCCACCAGCTCCACCGGCAGGACCCCAAGGCGTTCCCGGACTAGATTGGAGATGTAACCTCTCCAACGTGTCCTGGGTCAACCCGGGGGCCTCCTGCCGGCAGAACATGCCCGAAACACCTCCCCGGGGAGGCGTCCAGGAGGCATCCTGACCAGATGCCCAAACCACCTCAACTGACTCCTCTCGATCCGGAGGAGCAGCGGTTCTACTCCGAGTCCCTCCTGAATGTCCGAGCTCCTCACCCTATCTCTAAGGCTGAGCCCGGCCACCCTATGGAGGAAACTCATTTCGGCCGCTTGTAACCGTGATCTCATTCTTTTGGTCGTTACCCAAAGCTCATGTCCATAGGTGAGGATTGGGACGTAGATCGACCGGTAAATTGAGAGCCTGGCTTTCTGGCTCAGCTCCCTCTTCACCACGACAGATCGGCTCAGCATCCGCATCACTGCAGACGCTGAACCAATCTGCCTGTCGATCTCCCGATCCCTCCTCCCCTCACTCGTGAACAAGACCCCGAGATACCTGCAAGATCTCCACAGACTCGTTATGTGAATTTCGGATTTATTAAAGCCACTATATGTTGCTTTAAATAAAAATACTTACTCGACAATCTGTTCCTGGTTCTTCTGTGTTACTTATCATCAAATGTTGTTCTGGATTATCAGCTGGGAATGACACTTTCTGATGCTTACAAGACACCAGAAAAGTAGCAAGCAGCATGCCTGGATATACAACAAAACAAACAAATAAACTCAATAAAAATAAACTGTCTTCATACTATTCATGATATCATATTAAACAGTGTTTTCCCACCTGCAAGTAGCATCACGCAGA